GTGCCTGCGCCGTCCCCGTCCCCCAGGCGCGTCCGGTGCCGGGGGGGAGGATGCGTCCGGGCTCCCCAAGACATCTCCGTATTCGCTAGCTATGAAGTGGAACCTGAGCGGTTGCTAAGGACAGGAACGCCCCCAGCTGCTCGAGCGCCAGGAGCGCCCACCCTGAGCCGTCCGTGCGTGGCACAGCTCCGCTGCCCGGCAGGCTGCGCCGGCACCCGGGCGCCCAGCGTGGGGCTGGGGGAGCCCGGTCGGCTGGAGCCGAGTGCAGGGTTCTAGCAGACGAGCTCAGCCTGAGCCTCCTCGGAGAGCCCCGGCCCCGGCTAGGCGCTCTAACCGAATTACCCAGTGCGTCTCTGGGTGGAGGGCTCAGAACCCGAGGAGGTGCCCACACCCTGCCCTCGTCTCGAATTGAGCCCCGGGCGCTCTCCAGGGAGAGACCTCAGCGGGCTCCAGAATGCAGCCAGGTGGGACAGTGTGTCGAGTAATTGCAGGGCTATTCACAGGTTGACAGATTTGCCCTAAAGTGAGTTTCTTGTCAAGAAAGTAGAAAACTTACAGAATTGTTTTTAATGAACTTTTGAGTTCAGTAGGCTAAGGAGAGGATTAATAGGTGACCCTTATTTTGCATGTGCATACTGATCACGGACTGCATTTTTATGCTGAAATATTCTGCTTTCTTTTTATCCGTCATCCTATCAATAAAGGAAACTGTGATGTCAATGGGTGGGCCCATCAATAATGTCAGTGGGCCAGAAAACTGTCCGCTGTGGTCTTACAGAAGGCTGTGGAAGCCAGAAAATGTCTAGCTGGGCTAAAGCACAAGATGTATGAAGCACTATTCTTGAAATTTTTTTTTAAAAAAAGTCTGCTCAGGATAATTTTAAAAATTAAACTGATGAGAAATCTGTAGATATTTAGCTAATTGTATTACAGTCATTTTAACACACGTGGAAGAAAACAATAGATGATGCAAAAAAAATGCTGTACCAGCTCTTAAAATCTTGCAACGCCTAAGCCAATTGTAACTGTCTCTTCTGTAAGGGAAGGTGACCGTCCTAACCCTGAGGGCTACGTTGTTTTTACTGCGGGGCCATACTCCCCACCTGGAGCGGTTAGACCGGGGCTCCTGACCCAGTGGTGACACCTGGTGGTCAGGACTCTTGCCTACTCTGCTCCTTTCTCCTTATTGATTTAGCCTACTTCTTGTAAATCAGTTATTCAGTCTCTGCAGGCAATCATTTATTCAGCAAACGTGTCCACCGGGCCTTTAAAATATACTGTTCTATTTAATTCTCATAGCAAGCCTATGAGAATTAAAATGGGATAGGGGCCCCCATTTTTGGACAAATAAATTGAGGCACAGGAAGCATCACAAACTTACCCAAGGTCTCCACTGCTGATTTGTCTCGTACCGAGGTTCTGATACAGATCTAACCTGAAATGGGATGATGCAGATAAAGGAAAAACACGTAGTGTGCTGAAGGGTTTCTGAATAGGCAGCTTCCTAATGGCTTTTAGGTACAAGGGATTTAATTCGCTCTGTGCTCTTCAAAGACTAGGAAATGAAAAAGTCAAACTTATCCCTTTCTCTCACAACTAAAATCTGGCTTTAATCAAGGCAGATGAGGTTCAGAATAGTGCTTTGTATAGCCAAGCAAACAAAGGGGCCCAGAGGTTTGAGGGAAATGATTCATAGTAAGGAGCATGTGCCTTTGAAGTGGGGTAGAGAGTGAGCGTAAAGCCAAGAGCAAGGGTGTGGTGTATTAGCCAGCTTTCTGTCACTGTGACAAAATATTTGAACTTGAAGTAGGAAAGATTTACATGGGATTATCAAAACATGGTGAATGTTTAAATTTAAAAGAATTCATTACAGTAAGATAACACATTGTCTCCCTGGGCGTGGCAGCACACACCTGTAATCCCAGCACTTGGGAGGCTGAGGCAGGAGGATTGCTGTGAGTTCAAGACCATCCTGGGCTACAAAGTGAGCTCAAGGCCAGCCTGAACTGCATAGCGAGACCCTGTCTCAAAAAGACAGACATACATACATACATACATACATACTTAAATAAACGTATCACCCTAGTGACCCTCTCTTCCAGCCAGGCCCCACCTCCTAGGGTCCATCACCTCCCAGTAGCACTCCGCTGGAGACCAAACCTTCGGCACAAAAGCCTTTGGGGTCATTCCAAATCTCAGCTATAATAAATGGGTCTAAGTCTAAGCCCTGGTCTCACTGTGGTAAAATTGCATGGGGTAATTAGGCTCTCAAAGCTAAAATCTGTAAAATTGAAACATTCACCGGCATATGGGGTCATTCTGAGGATCTAGTAGGATAAGACCTGAATCACGTAACAGTGCTTTGGCACCCAGCTGATATTTAGAGGAGACAAGAAACTTGTTCAGTAATAGCTGTTTGCTTTAGATGTTATATTTAATTCTTTCAACTTGACAAATACAAAAATATTGCTTTAAGAAAGCTAGGGTACCTCATTTTACAAGAGAAAAGAAGAGAAAGGAAAACCTAGAATAACAAAAGGAAGTGAATTATTTCAAAATTGCCCAACTGTTAACTTGTGAATACCTACACTGGCAACACATCTCTGTTAGATTTGAATTCCTGTAAAAATCACTTTAGGGGACTTTTAAATCAGAAACACTCAACACTGTAACATTTCTCCCATGAAAATAGAAAATAAATTACATGTAAAATTGTTAGCAAAGCAGGCTTAAGACAGCTCTCCCTAGAAAGACTATGATTTATTTACCAGCTTGCCCTGGGCTTCTGTCTGGAAACCTGGGTGGTAAAATGTTCTGCACACGACGTGAATGAAGCCTGACCTAAGTGACAAGTGTGGCTCCCTGGGCCTGCGCTGCAGTGTGGTTCCTGCTGACCACCTTCTGAGAGTGGAACTGTGGTCCGTGCCTCAGTGACCAGCCATAATAAAAACTTGGAGCACCAAGTCTCTGATAAGTTTCCCTGGTAGACAGTGCATGTCACCATCTGATGCTAGAGAAATTGTGTGCTGATTCTGTTTTATATCCTTTTGCTGTGTAAACCTGAGCCATGATTACAACTACGTGTTGAATGAGTCCCCCTTGAGGATCACTAAACACAGGGGTCCCCACACATGAACCTGTATAAAATATTTGTTTTGTTAGAAAAAAAAGTCTTAGAAAGATATAGAAAATTACACACACACACTATATGCTTTGTATAAAAACTAAACAGGCAGATGGTTCGTTGTTCACCAAATATTGAGCATTTGCTGTAAATCTAGCTTTCTGTCGGGGCTGTGATAAGTACAACAAATATAAGGACCCACAGGGGAATTATCTTTACTTACCCCACATAGATCGTAGACGTATAATTGACAGGGGGAGGCAGTGTGAATTACTGCCTAATGAGTGGGTCAGACAATGTGTAAGTGTTGTTGAAATTCTAAAGGATAAGTGTTTATTTATAGCCATAATGGTTTCTGAAAACCATACTAGCGTTTCAGTGGAGCATGCTGGGAGGAGGCTTTTGCAATTGACAAGAAAGCCAGGTGGGAGGACAGCTTGAGCAGACATTAATAGAATTGGTGCAAGAGCAGCCTGATTGCAGAGAGTTCACTCTGAACAGAAGCAGAAGATAAGATCAGAAAAAGGGCTTTGAATGCTTTTATAAAGAGTTTGCTTTCCATTTCTCTCTGGGTAAAATACAGCTAGGGTTCTTGAACTGAGTCGTAATGTAATTAAAATGATCTTTAAGGTGATCTGCAGGTTGATGCCACTTGGATTCAAGTGGTAATAAAGATGGAGAGACAAATTAAGAGGCTATTAAAATAATCCAGGCCAGAGCTAATGAGAACCTCAACTCAGGTTTCTCATGTCAGTGGACTGATAAACAATAAGGCTGTCGCCAGTGCCTGACAGTAGTTAGGACATCAAGAAAATTTTCGGTTTTATTTTGTTTGAGGGAAATTTTGCATGTGGTGATAGAGGCTATGAAGACTTTTATGCTGTGTCAACATACTGCACATAAGTAGACAGATAAGTGGTTGAAGACACAATTATGGTAGTGTGTAGATTTCCTAGATTCTGATCTGTTGAAAACATACATCTTGCTTATTTCTCATTCAGAATTTTCTTAGCCACTTTGCATATTCACAGATGATTAGTTAAAATTAGGTTTAGAAGAATCCAGTTTTCCTGAGTTTTTATCTGATGAACAGGTTAGAAAAATAATGAACATTAAAAGATGCTTGTTGGTAATAAATTATTAAATTAGTTAGGATAAATGGTTAGATCTCACATGTGTTATAACACTTGAGAAATACCTTGTACAATTAGGAAGGTCTGCACAACTAAAGCAAGTTATTACCTAGTAGAAATTCGTGAAGACCCTCCGAAAGATAGAATTTTGTATTTAAATCTTTTAGAAGTCTTCCATTGTAAAGCATTTAAATCAGTTTTGAGAATTATTGAGATTATTAGGATGGGTTTGATTCTGGTCTGCTTAAATAAAGAAATAGTAGGAAATTTCCTACATATTTTGAGATTTCTGAGTTTGCCTTTTATTCATCTTTTTTTTTCTTGTGCTCATAGCAAAATAATTTTTTGAGTTTCACATGAACTCCTGGCAAAAACACATGTGAATTCAGGGAGTGTCCCGGAAACTGATGAGCACATCTGTTTATTGGATTTTTCTCTGTGTAAATAAGCTCAGAGGACTTCTTTCTGTTTTCTTTCTTTCCTGGCTGGAGAACATCTCTATGTTTTCTAGATTTTAATTCACTGCACACTCCTTTTTAGTAAATTTTTCCTTATTGCAAAAGTAATATAGATTCCTATGGAAAAAATACAGCTACAAAAAGTACAAAAACTGACCACACATGCACCATCCTGAGATCATTGTTACTAATACTTTAGTGTATGACTTAGCTTCTGTTGATCCCCACATGTACATACATATATATATACATACATACATGCCCCCACAATCTTCACCTATCTTTTTTTTAATCAGAATGAGATCATCCTGTACTTAACACATTTTTTCATTTAATGAACTTTCCATATCATTAAAATTTCAATCGCAAAATGTTTTAAAGAGATGCATATCGTTCTGTTGCATTAATTGCCATGATTTAGTGCACTATGCTCTTTTTGAAGTAATCTTTATTCTTTATTTTTTTAAATAATACAGATAAACTATAGTAAGCCTACTCATTGCCAGATTTGGTGCACATCCATTATTATGTAGGATTAACTCTTACAAATATAATTATTGAACTATGCTTGAAGATAACAATATATAATATAACAACCATTGTTAATTCCTGTCATCTTGTTTTGAAATGTTGTATCGTCGTTATTGTTTTTGTGTTGTTTTGTGTTTGTCTTTGTTGTCCTTATTTTATTGTTTTTTTCTCTTTAAAATAAATAAATAAATGAATGAATTATGTATGCACCTTTTAAG